CTGTTATTTAAACAGGCAATAACTTGGGTAGGCAAAATGTGGCCTGTGGGCCGCATGCAGCCCGCCAGGTCATTCTATCTGGCCTGAAGGGCCCCTAAAAAATTTAGAAAAATTAATATTTAGCTGCCCCTGGCTGCCTGTCATGCGGCCCTCGATGGCTTGCCAAAACTCAGTAAGCAGCCCTCCGCCCAAAATAATTGCCCGCCCCTGTAATAACTGACTGGAATTTCTTGAACTCTATGGGCAAGGATCTGAGCCCTTAAAAGAAAGAAGGCTCCAAGACCAGGGTAAAGTGTTACACACTTGTTTATAACCTTACTAAGTCAGTTTCTAGTATCAGCTATGGCATATTTAACAGATGATTCCACACTTGAGTCTGAAACAGGAAGGACAAAGCAAGAAATGAACATGCTGTTGCTGTCCACCTGAATAAAAATACACTTCTGAAATGTGCGTTCTAGAGCCCAGGATCTCAGGAATTTCTTTTTGTACTTCAGGGAGAAATGTAATAGCAAAATTTGGAAAGCCACAGATTAATACTATTGATGTTTATTTCACTTACACCTATAGTAATGCCGCAACCCCCAACTTACATTGTAAGGCTTGATTGTGTGACTTAAGATATCTAAAAGAAAAACAAAGAGAAAGAAAATCAATGGCAATAGATCTTGAGATTTACCAGGACTCAACATAAACCCAGGAGCTCCCCCCAAAAAGCAGTTTATCTGAAACAATTCTAGTTAGTCTATCCAAATCTAGGATTTTGTTTTTCCCCACTACTACTGAAAATTATATTTTACATTGTGCCACTGCCCTGTCTATTTAAGAAGACAAACTTGTGAAACAGCAATAAAGATCTGATCTGATCTTACATGTTGCCCAGACAAAAATCTTCAAGTCACTGGTAGATCTGGGTGCAAATGACTGCAGAACTGAGTCTGCAGGACCCCATTCAATAAACTGGTTGGATGCAACCTCCCAAATATACTTTAGCAGCAGCTACAGCAGTATAGAACCTGTAAGTATCTGCCAGAATTTAAGGGTGTTTTTACATGTACTTTCGGATTCAGCACCGGGTGCTTTAATTAGCGAGCCACACTAATTAAAAGTGCTCGCAAATCATGTTTATCAGTGTTGCTGTATGTCCCCACACTGAAAAAATTGTGGCGGGGCACTTTGAACTAAAGCTCGTTGGATGTCTTTTATATCAACGTGCCCCATCACCAGCATGGAGATGCGTGGCAACGCTGATACACGTGATGCATGAGGCTGCCAGAGTGCATCAATTTCCGTGCTCCAGTAGATTTGATTAACTGAGTCTACTCCGACAGGCTGGATTTCCAGCATGTTGGAGCAAGCTCCCTGCATGTGTATAGGAGCCCTAAGTTTCTATCTGTTGTATATACTCCACAGATTCGGGAATAACTGTTTTATGTAACAATTTTAGTCTACCAATTTCGCTTTATCTTCATACTGCCATAAGTACCGACATGGATAATACAGCTTTACCACATTGCAGCTCAGTCCTGAGGGAAGAAAAGTCTAGTCTGGAATGTCTGTGTGAGGGACGGTACGTACTGGGAAGGCACATCCAGGAGCTTAAGCCAATGTAGAAAGCCTCTATTAATTTCTTAGATAAAAGAGTTTCTAAATGCTTCAAAGGATAATAAACAACTGGTACAGAAACGTATGCGACTCTGCTGACTTTGTAACTACAGGGACTTCTGACATTTTGGGCGCAATCGTGAAATGCTTACTCTAGCAGAGTCCCACTGAAATCAACATGTAGAAATATAAAGATCACAGGATAAGAATGTATGTTTGTCAAAAAAGAGCCTAGAGAGTAAGGAATCACCCCAGAAAATCTGGGTTATTTATGTTATTTCATATTAAAGATCAAAGCGTCCCATCTTTCCCCCCAAAAAAACAAAACCAAAAAAACCCCCCATCATAAATCTCTTGTACTTTGTGCTACAAAGTAATTTGTTTCCATTCCAAAGAACTTTATAGAAAAAAGCATTTTCACAGGTTGCCATTAAAGTGTGAATCGTGTTGCTTCTGGAATTTTCCCTGTATTGCTGTCGCAGTATGAAAGGTCACTAAAACCAGAGAAGTCAGAAAAACTGTCTCTCTTGTTCCACCATTTACCCTCTTGGTGCATTTGAGAACATTGCATGCACACTACACGTCAGTCTTGTGTTAATGGCCAGCTACACTTCCCGTGTCATGCATGAACATAAGGACAAGTACATGGTTGCTCTAAGAACTGAGCAGTATGGAGTGGAAGGGAAACCTTTGTGAAACGCTTAGGAGGGAGTTTAGACCAAAAGTGAAGGACACATGGTTTAAGAAACATTAGACTTAGATTTTTTTCCTAAACTGGTTAAAAAAAACAACTGATCGCCAAAGCGAGAGTGTCCCTGAAACTCCTGTGAAATGCAGGGAAGCACCTACCAATAGAGTTCTCTCGAGAGCACAGCTTACATTTCTGCACCATTGTGGCACTTCCTCTGCCTCCCTTAAGAGGAGCACTGTCCTAAAAAAGATTACAAACAGAGCCATCATTTCTAATCACATCCTGGCTGAGTGACTACAGACATCTGCCCTGACAAGAGCAGAACCATTACAAACTCTATACTGATTTTTACATGGTCAAAAGAAGGCATTTTTCTCTTGGAACTAGAGATTCATAATTCAGAATATGATAGGTATCAAGGAATGGTTTATTCTATTAAACATGATTAGGCATATCAGTCAAAAACACAGGCCAGCAGCTGTGGTAACGCAGGAAATATAACTAGCAGCATTATCCATATGTAGAACCCCTTGTTTAAACATGAGCACCAAAATGGCAGTTGCTTTGTTGTGCTCTTGCATATCCACTGCAGTTATAAAAAAGGCAGCTGCAAATCTTGCTTACACCAAAGAAATGTGGTGTTCTGTGTATCAGGTTTTTGTTCACAGAGACTCTGAACATCCTTCTGACATTTTTCTGGAACAGCAATGCCTTTCTTGTGGCAGAATCCATGTGCAAGGGGCCTATTCTGAGCAAAGTCTATTACTGCATCTTGCTCAGCAAGAATCTGGAGCCAGCCACATACCCATGGACTGGTAAGGAGAAGACTATTGCTCCTCCAGTGACAATGCTCCTGTGACCAAAGAAACCATGAAAAACTTTAGATTTGAGTTCTTCTCTCACCTCTCCTCCCATAAGCCTGACTTTAGTTCAAGCGTTTTTCACCTGCTGGTATCCTAGGAAAACCCTGGCAGGAAAAACATTCAAGTCCAGCAACAAAGTATAGGGGTGGTGAAAGTGTGACTTCAGCCCAAAGAGCAACCCAACTCCTTTTCTCCAGCTGGAATGAGAGCTTAGTGGAATGCCGACAGAAGTGTATTAAACAGAAGTTCATGACAACCAACCCAACGTTCGTTGCCAATCGCCTACAACTAAACACACTTCAGTTGGATACCCTGTTACTTTTCAACTGATCCTCCAATATGCTAAATTTAAAATACTGAAGAAAGGATTGTTTATGCCTTATCAGTATAGGCACATGCTATCCATTCTGCAGGCTATCTGACCTTCAACACACATGCCACTACAAGTGACTGCTGCCTGATCCTGCAGCTTCCGACATGCAGGCAGGCTGTTGTACCCAAACGGAAGGAGTTGCAGGGCTGTGGCCTACAGGACAGATGGTCTTCTGTTCAGGACAGGCTGATGCTTTAAATCCCAAGTTAGCCTCAGGCTTTCTGGGTGATTCTGGGCAAGTCATTTCACCTCCCTACTCCATTCCCCATCCATAAAGCAAGCATAATGCTTATCTACTGCAATTCACTCACATTTGTGCACTCCAATCCAATAATTCTATAAACATGAAGAATGCTATATGTAACTTCAGTACACTGTATACATTCACTGACTATCACGATTCCCTCTCACCACGGGGTGCCTAATTTTCCCAGAAGTGTTTTACCAGGAACAAAAGGAAAACATACTACTGGCAAAATCCTATTCTAGTAGCACTTTTATGCCCGTTTAACTCTATAAACCCATTTAACTCAGCTGTTGAAATAAATTGTCTTTATAAATTGAAGGCACAAGAAAGCTTAAAATAAATCACAACCACCATTTATCATTCCAATAGCACGTTTCTGGTAACTTATTGGTGGCATTGTGGCTCAGCATGTTTGCCTGTTGACCAAAAGGATGCTGGCTCAAACCCACCCAAAAACATTGACTGACAAGTGTAGATGATGGGTGGGAACTGAAGTACTTTTTAAGTTATGGAATCTCTCATCAGACATTTTTCAGTGAAAGGTAGATAAATGTTTGTCCTGGATAGCTTAGACAGGGATGACCTGCCGTGAGCATAGGGTTGGATTAGATAACAAGGCTGTATGAAACTTCAGCAGCCATTTCATTTCAGAGGTGTTTCGGCACCTGAAACACTGAATCCAAATTGAAACAGAAGGCTCCGAAACATCTCTGGAACTGAACAAAAGCATCCGAAACATTTAGGAAAATTTTGGAGTTGCGCTTGCAGGGAAACAGAAATGAAGAAGAGGGAGGGGAAGAAGGGTGGAAGGACTGCTCAGATATTGACATCTGTAGCTGGCCAGTGTCTGCAATCTGCCCCCGAGGTCCCTTCCAATCCCAGGGCTCTGGGGGAGAGATGGCAGCATGCTGTCAGCCACGCCCAGACCTGGGTGCCTGTGCCCCCCGGGAGGGCTGCAGGGCTGTACCAGACTTTTCCTGGGGGGCACAGGCCCCCAGATCTGCAGGAGGATGACAGCATGTTGCCACTGCCAGCAAGTGATATGAGTTTTGCTTGGAACAGTTTGAGGGGCAGTTTCAAAAATCCCCCCGCACCTATCTCCTTGAAACTTGGCAGGCTTCATGCCCTGCAATTTTCATCTGAATCAAGCAAGACATGACAAAGGTATAGGCATTTTAGTGATTCCCCATTATAGCCTATGGCTGAAACACCAAAACAGTGTTGAAATGCTGAAACAAATTCAGCTGAATTGAAACAGGACAGCGATTTGAAACACCGAAACAAATCACTGTCCCTCCAAAACGCTGAATCCAAAACCAAAATGAAACAAAGCCGTTTTGCACAGCCCTATTAGATAACTACCTGAAATCCCTTCTGGTGCTAGTTTTCTACGATTCACTCAAGTATTCAAAAGAGTTTGTGATCATAAAGTACAGCAGCACCCCCAGCACACAGATAGCTATTACAATACTACACACAAGACTGTAAAAGTTTGCATATCTTACTAGCATTGCCAATAACAATTTTATGGCATAGGGACTGTTCTGGGGGGTGCGTGTTTAATATACCAGTCGCAGTGTGGGAACATACCATTAATCGCAGGTACTGCCATTTTTCGGAAACCTCACCACAGTTCCCGCATTTCAGCTGGAAAACAAAGATACAAACCCAAGAATCTTAAGTTGCTAGTAGTGGGGTAATAAGACAGCACAAGCCATTTTCAGACTCAGAAGTCCACATCTTTTGCAACTGAAAGACCGTGGGACAGCTCCGTTTGAAGGAGATCAGGACTGGCATCAGGTATCTATGATCTCAGGTCTGATAGCTTCAATTGGACTATAGTTTCATAGTTTCTAGGGTCGGAAGGGACCTTAGCAGATCATCTAGTCCGACCCCCTGCCATGGCAGGAAGAGCACTGGGGTCAAATGACCCCAGTAAGGTGGTCATCCAACCTCCTCTTAAAAACCCCCAGGGTGGGAGCCTGCACCACCTCAC